GAAAAATGGGGTCCGTGGACCTAGCTCAATGATCAAACTCTTATTTATCATATGCCTAGATCTTAGTTCTAGCTTTAAAATCCACAGTGCCTGTGGTACATATACATAATTTACTGTAATCTTTTCTGGGTTTGTTTATTTATTTGGTTGTTTCTTTCTTTAAAGTATGTTGTTAATTTTCTATAAGGGACATACTATCTTCCTAAAGACAATGTACATGGGTTCCCTAGTCCATGTGTTCTCCAACACTTATCTATGTCTTTAAACCTTTCTCTCTCAAGCTCTTCAGCTAGCTCATCTTCTCTTATCCAGAGAAGTTCTCATTTAATGGAATCCCATAGATTAGTGTTCACACATTTTTCATTTGGGTGTGAAATCCCAATACCTTTACAAAAATCTGTGTTCCATAGTTTTCTGACAATGTTTATGTCTAGCAGTTTTGTGGTTGCAAGTCTTATGAGTGACTATAAGAACATGGATTTGTTTGTGTTGTCCACTGTTGTATGTTTAGGGTGATGGTGCTAAGATGACCTTCCTAAACTAAAGAAAGATATTTTTCTGCCATTATAGATTTCAGAGTGGTTTGTGCCAGAAATAACAAACTCACCTTTTACTTGATGGTGGAATAAGTTTAAGTTTGGCAGCAAATGGAAATTCACCAGAGATTTCATATCCAAACAGGTACATTGTGTTATTCACTTGTGTTTCTGTGTTTCTTAGAAGGACAGTTGTGGGTCTGGAGAGATGGCCCAGTGGTTAAGAACACTGGTTGTTCTTGCAGAAGATACAGGTTTGAATCCCAGCACCCACATGGCAGCTAAGAACTGTCCATAACTCCAGTCCCAGGGGATCTGACAGCTTCTTCTGACCTCCGCAGGCATTGGACAACACACGTGCACTTACCTACATTCACGCAATACACACATACACATGAAATAAAAATAATAAATTCAGGCAATACACACACACATGAAATAAAAATAATAAAATAAATAAAAAATTTTTAAAAAAGAACAGTTATGACCAACTATTTCATGGAGAAAACATATCAGAAGTCAGTATTGAGAAAGTTAATGCAGGTAGATTTTTCTTCACCCTTGATAAAATCTCTTCTTCCATAGAAGACATAATCATTATAACATGTATAGAACACAGACAGATGAGTTTTGCTGTGACCAAATGACATTTGAAGCCTGCTTTGGAGCTTGGTCTTTAATAGTGCCTTGGAAGGTGGCAGTCCACAGCTACACCAGTGTTTCTTACCCATTCTTCAACCTAAATGGCCATGACATAGTTTCAGAAATTTAATTTAGCATTGTAGGCTCCTTCTAGGCTACATCACAAACCATTCCCTGGGCAGGTTACCAAAGAATTCAAAGTCCAGACCAAACGCATAGATACAGAGCAAATAAAGCAAGGAAATCCACACTGAACTAGGCATGGCTGTTTATTGGAATGATCCAAGCACTCCAGAGGATCAGGTCTCCACAGGCTACTTAGCAAAGTATTAGACTTAGGAGGAACGCACAGTGATAATGTGAAATTTTATAAAATAAAATAAGATAAAGAGCCAGTGCTGGAGCAATGACTCCCTAGATTTTATTCTTCTTTATCTTCTGGGATCCTTTGTGTTTTTTATAATATTATTTCATTTTTTATGTGTATGTGTTGGGAGGTAGGAGAGGGTGTCCGCAGAGGCTAGAAGAGGACATTAGATTCCCTGGAGCTGGAGTTACAGGCATTCCTGAGTCACCTGATGTAGGTATTGGGAATTTAACTCAGGTCCTCTGGAAGAATAGCAAGTATTTTTAACTGGTGAGTCAACAGAACACTAAATTTAAAGCACTCCAAAGGCAATTGTGGGCTAATCCTGTTATCCCAGTAAGTGGACTCTGAGTCACACAAATGACTATCAGTTGAAGGACAGTCTGGGCTCCATGCTGAATTCCAGGCCTGCTAGAACTACCCAATGAGTTGCTATATACAAAATACCCATCCCACCCGCCTCCCCCCATTCAGTTCCATACTTTGTGAGAGATTGGCCATTTAATCCCTAAATCTGTGGTTTAATAGGTCCGTTCTTATTAGGTATGCAGGAACAGTCTGTAATCAAAATCTTTAGGAGCAGAGCAATAAAATGTTTAAGGTTCTTGGGGCTGAAGAGATTGTTCAGTGGTTAAGAGCGCTGACTTCTCTTGCAGAGGACCTGCATTCAATTCCCAGCACCCACATGGCAGCTATGAATTGTCCTTAACTCCAGTTCCAGGGGAATCCAAAGCCCTCTTCTGACCTCCCTGGCATTTCATGACACGGGTGTACTTACATAAATGCAGGAAATAAACTCATACACAGAAAATAAAAATAGTATACAAAATATTTAAAAAGTTTAAGGTTCAAGCTGTAACCCATCAGAAATAGCACAATGAGATCTGTGGCTGATTCAGCAGCTTAAGTGACTCACAATGCTTACCAGTTAATCTTGAACACAAACTTGGATAAATGTTCAGCTGATGATGATAGAGGCTGTCCCAGTATTTTACATGTATAAAGCATGCCCGGTTTCAAGGATGCCTTACCTGTCTAAGGCCTAGGAACTCCCTTGGGTAAACCCATGATGGATAAAAGGGAGGGTTGTGGGGGATACAAGTCTTTACTTCACTGAACTGTGTGGGGTGGAGCCAGAAAGGATGCACAGAGCTTCTCTGGGGCCTAGACTCCCAGAGGCTTCAAGGCCAATGGGTGCTGCCAGTTGCACTGCTGCTACTCCTGGTGGCCTCACGGAAGGGCCCATCGGCTACAGAGGAGAGGACAAGACAAAAATTCAGGCACTTTTTTACCAGTTCAAGGCCAGGCACCTCCAGCTACCAGTGGCACCTAGAGATTGGAACTGAAGTGACAAGGAACCAACCAGCGATTCTTGCAAGAAGAACCAAATTTGGGGGAGCATTGATAATGTCATGGCAGAACATGCTACAGTGTCTTCAGCATTGAAGTCAAGAGTGGGGATTCTTCCAGTTATTTGAGGTTGGTCAACGGCAGGATGGAAATGTCATGTAGAGAATCCATGAATGGAGGATAACACCAGTTTGTAAACATTGCTGTGTTCCCTCCCACTCCTGAGTGTCCTTTCCCAGGATGAAATTTTTTGCTTGATCTGGACTACTACTTTCAGGTTTAGTTACTGGTGGCTTGATTCCTTTGTGTTAGAAATTACAAAGGAGCCCGGGGAGAGAGCTCAGTCATTAAAGTACTTCACCTGACGCAGAAGGACCTGAGTTTGATCCTCAGAAAAAAATTCCTGTGGGGCCCATGCACTTTTCACTGTGCACACGAAGGGGTGGATATAGGAGAAGGATACATAAAGCTCCATGGTCAGCTACTCAAGTCCACCTGGTGAGCTTTAAGCCAATGAGAGATCCTGTATTAAAGGAGATGGACAGTGTTCCTGGAGATAACACTGGAATACACTGGCTTCCAGTGGGTCAGGTACACACATCATCTGCACACAGAGGAAAACACACACACACACACACACACACACAGAGCGAGAGCGAGAGTGAGAGTAAGAGAGAGGCAGAGGCAGAGAGGCAGACAGAGAGAGATTTAAGAAAAGAATTTATTAAGGTCTTCAGAGATGGCTCAGTGATTAAGTATATTGGCTGGAGGATCTGACTTCATTCCCAGCATGCACTTCCAGCAAGTCATAGCTGCCTATAACTCGAGCTTCAGGAGATCTGATGTTTTATTTGGCCTGTGCATTCATCATGCACACACATACACATGAACAAATAAAAATTATTTTAAAGGTAGGAATTACAGCTGGGTGTGGTGTCCTAGGCCTTTTATTGCAGCACATCAAAGTCAGAGGCATGCATATCTCTCTGAGTTCAAGGCCATCTTGGCCTACATAGTAAATTTCACTCCATCTAGTGGTACATAGTAAGACTCAATCCTAAAATAAAACTAAAAATAATGGGAAAAAAGCTATTACTAAGTGCTATGATGTTTATGGTAGCTGATCCTTGTATTTCAGCACTTAGGTGGTAATCCTAGGAGTTCAAGGAGAGCATGGTTTATGACACCTTTTTCACCTTTTCACTCAATCCTAAGGGAAAAAAACCTTCCTACAAGTGTTTCTGCTATGGCCTGACCATTGGAGAGGTTCCTGACTTAGATAGAAATTGGGCTTTATTCTTGCCATTTATATTCTGATGGGCATCCGACATTTAAGAGGGGCAATAATGACACAAAGAGTAGATATGGGACCTATCATTTGGACGGGGGTTCTTTTGTTCTATCAGAATTCTAAAAATGGTGAACAAGGAGGAAGACAAGTCCTGCTCTCTGGCAGTGTGTTTAGCAGCACTGAACTGCTACCAAAGACAGGTGGGAGGATCTGAACTTGGGTAACAGGAGCCTTAGCCCTATGAGTGTTGAAGCTCTTCTGTGGGCAAAGAAAGTGAGTTTCCTTATCCCTTGGTTTCAGATTGCATTATAGTTTTCAGACAAACATATGTATTGGGATTCTTCAGCCTTCAAATAGTGTGCGTGCGTGTGTGTGTGTGTGTGTGTGTGTGTGTGTGTGTGTGTGTTTGTGTGTGTGTACCTGAGTGTTTGTATGTGTGTGGGGAAGTACATGCTAAGACTTGCCTATGCAGGCCAGAGGACAAGGTTGATTTTTCCCTTTTACCATGTGGGTCTTAGCTCTTCTGGTTTGCTGGCAGGTGCTTTTACCCACTGAGCCATCTCACTGTCTTTTGTAGCAACTATTACAGTTCCTGTGTAGGCCCAGTAAGTGGGTAATTCCTCAGCTTTTAATTCAGGCCGGTGTTACTGTACTTGGTCCAAGGTCTGATTCCTCTGTCCGTAAGTTTTTGACAGACCCTAGAACTCTTCTGGTGACCAAGACCTTTATGTTCTCTCTGGCTCCTTACAAACATTAATGCTTCTTCACCATCAACTCTTCACACTCTTTTGTCTCCTCTTTTGCAGTCCTGCTTCCTGTGCAGGCTCCTCAGCCTCATCTTCTCCTGCCAACAGCCACATGTCTTGCTTGGCCTGCTGGAATCCAAGGGCATGCCCCTGTCAACACTTTGTGCTGCTGCTTTGTGTTACAAGCTCAGTCTGCACTGCTAAATGTAGGTACGAAGAGACCATTTAAGAAAAGTTGTTCATTGGTCCTGATGTTACACCATGATAAGAAACAGCACAAAATAGCTTCTGCCAGCCAACACAGTGAGTGAGCCTGAGCAACCTGTTTATTCATTCAGGCAGAGCCAATGAGACTTGTATTTTGGACCATTCATAGCCTCACGGTGACTGCAATCCCTTTTCTGGACCACCAGGGGGAGAGCTCCCCCTGTATTCTAGGTGGAAATGTTTGTACTGTCATCTAAGATTGTCATCTAAGATTCTCCTGAAGGCTTATGGTAGTAAAGCAGCTGGTACATTTTCAAACAACACCAGATAAGTCTCAGATTCCAGATTAGGGGAAATCAGCTGGGACTGTCTTATAGTTTTCTCAAGGGATCCCTGCAATGTTCCAGAAGTCTGCTGCTGGTATGAGGGTGGTCCATGTGGGTATTTGACTCACCATCACCTGGTTAAGGTAGTCAAGGTAACAAGGGGCAGTCCAACATTTGACAGGTAGGGAGTCAGATTGCCACACATGTCATCCTCTTTGCATATTTACAAAAATTGTACATGAGACAGAGTGCTCACAAAATATACTTAAATAACTTATCATTAATACTGATAGTGGTTTTAACAGTACGTGACACTTGTCCAGTGTCCCAAGTAAATGGAGCTTCCTCATCTGCCTGAGATATATGTTGTATAAATAAATCCTACTATGGATCACTAGACAGCCTTGGTGAAGTGATATGACCCAGCTCTTTGTGATTCGACGGGTTTTAAAGATACCTTAAGGAGGAAACACTCCTCTAGGAAATTTTCCTCCTGGCCATGTTCATTCCTAGTTTAGTTCTGCTGTACAGATACTTGGAGAACTGAGTAGCATGTAAGGCCTAACCTAGATTTTTCTTGGTTGAGAGAATTTCCCACATAATGGCAGTATCCTAGTGAAGGAATCAGCCTTACCCAACCACAATGTCTCCCCTAGGAAGTACAGCCTCTGACCTTGAGGATTCTCAAGTTTGCTGGCCTGAATATTTGAAATACTTGCATGGGCTCGAATTTTGCAATGAACTCAATTACATCAGGGAACAGTATACCTACTGGAACTCCTAAGCACAAATTGAATGCTTCTTAATTGTTCAACTGGCTGCTTTGTTAAGCAGAAAATCAATGATATAGAGGGTAATCTAAGTCAGTACTTCTGAAACATCTCTGTGTTTCTGATTCAGCTGTACAGCTGGTTAAAGCATAGATCACTGGGTTCCATCCAGAGTTATTTTCATTTTTTTTTCAACTTCTTATAGGTAACTAAAAGACGCTAGTACTCCTGATTTTGGAATTACACTAGGAGACCTGTTCTAAAGTAATCTGAACTATGTGAACATGAATGTGTTACTGGCATCCCAGGCTGTGATGCTGGGCTAGGTCAGAATGCTCTCCTAAATTAACAGATATTATTTAAGTTGTTTAATTGTTATATTTTTGCATGGGTGCTTTGGGGAGTACACATACCACAGAGAGAGAGAGAGAAAGAATGTGTTGGTGATCAGAGGACAATTTTATGGAGTGAGCGTTCTCCTTCCATCTTTGTATGGGTCCAGGTGATCAAACTCAGGTGACCAGGCTTGTACAGCCAGGGTATTTCCCACTAGATTGTCTTGCTGGCCCTTAACAGAAATTAAAAATAAAATATAGTAGACAAAATAATGGAAAATGAATTTATTTAGTTTTGTGTTCAAAAGTGGAGTGTTTCTCAGTCTTTCTTGGCCTTGCCAATACCAATGTTATAACCTATAGATCAAGGATGAATGGAGATTCCAATGTAAAAACTCCTGTTTCAAAAACCCCTTTTGCTTCATGCTTGCATTTAGAGTCATGTGTGAGACACCAAGTGGGGAACAGAGGGTAGAAGAAGTTACAGGGTCAAGTGAACACAACACAAACAGCACATTGAGAGTCGGGGTTAGTCCAGCAGCTTAAATGGATCAAGATAAACTATTCACAAAATGAAAATGAATTCCCACATCATAGTGATTGATAAACTTCCACATCAATCTGCAATACAAATTGAAGAAATGCTCAAAAGATTTAGAAAGGGACAGTCCCTGAATTTTATATGTTCTGTCATAAAAGATGCCCCTACCAAGTACCATTTGGCCTGCCAATACCCAGGATCTGTAGCGAGTTATAACTATGGCTGAAGGTTTGGAGAGCACTGGGGATGCAGGCAATATGCTCACTGGTGCTTTGTCCAGTTGGGCCCAGGAAGGATGTAGCATACGTCTTTATGGCAGCTGACCCTGGAAGAGGCTATGTGTCTAACAGGTGCCACCGCCAATGTTCTCGGAGGCCACTGGCTAGAGGACAAGGTGGGGAAACTTCAAAATTTTTATGGACTCAAAGATAGACACTTTATGCTATCAGGAACAGAGAGAGATGGGAACCGGAGAGGGGACCATGAGGAGGGAAAGTGAGAGATCCACTCAAGTCCTGGTGACCATTGATAATGTCCCAGCAGGGTGTATCACTGTTTCTGGCATGTTGTCCTGTGGTTGTGATATTTTTCGGATTAATTGCAGTTGGCAATTAGTGGGATCCAGGGGAGAGAGGCAAACAGATGAAGGGAAGATAAGATCATATCAAAAAATTGTTGCTGGCAATGGCCACATACGTAGATCACATTCTTACCAGATGATCTGGTGGCTTGGTTTCAGATTCATTTGTTTCTTCCTGGACTGGTTGATTTGTATTAAAAATGATCCGGTGCTGCACATTCTGTGTTATATAGTATCCAGAATAAGTTGTGAACAAGGAAACAGATTAGGCTTTCCTTTTGTCCTTTATATTCTGACAGATGTCACTTGCTTCTGAATAGGCACAGTGACAGCACAAGGAGTTAGGACTACATTGCCCTGAGGAAAGTGTTGGGAAAGGGTTATTCTTTCATGTGGACACTTTCTTTGAAGAGAAAGTAAAATAAAACTGTACACTTTTCCAGGGAGGGGATGTTAACGCCTTGAGCCCCTATTTAGGTATGGAGGGTAATTAGTACTTAAGGACCAAAGTAGCTTATTACTGGTGAAAAGAGTTTACCCATTAAGTGGCGGACCCTTCTGGGAGATTCTTTTTTGTTGTTGTTGTTCTTATTGAATTTTTGTGTGTTTCTTACAGAACATCTCAACAGTCTTAATCATCTTTATTCCCCTGTACCCACTGGCACCTTCCCATAGCCCCCCGACTGGAGCCCATGTACTCTGCCATTCCTGTTAAGGCCCACTGTGTCAAGCAAGTGTTCAGAGATACTCCCCAGTGCAAGTCCATCCACTGAGGTCTAGTCAAAGCATTTAGAGTCCCTAGTTTCAGGAAGACCAGCAACTCATTCTTACTTGAGGTCAAGGTCTTCCCTTGCAGGAGGATCCTGTCTGTAATCTAGTTAGGTCAATGATGCAGAACTCGGAGGCTCTCTGTGGAGACCATTTTAAATTCTTCTGTGCTAAGACCTTGATCAGCCAGCCAAGTCAATTCACAGCAGAAATTCTGAACCCGTGAAAACTCTAAGGAAACTCTTAAAGAGTATGAAAGGCCCAACTTGCTGCATTGTTAACCAGATAACAGTAGTATTGCAGGCAATCCAAGTCCCTCTTTGTTAAATGTCTCTGGGCATCTTAATTACCTGGAAAGGGGCTGTGGATTTAGCTTGGTGGTAGAGAGCTTACCTAGCAAGGGCAAGGCCCTAAATTGTGCCCTCATTTCTGGAAAAATGAAATGAAAGATTTAAGTTATCTTTATTAGTGTGATTATGCACAAATACTTATGTTTAAAGCCAGATATGGTGTTACAGGCCTTTAATCCCAACACTAGCGACACCAAGTCAAGGTGATCTCTATGCATCTGAGGCCAGCCTCATCTACATAATGACTTCCAGGCCACTCAGGGCTATAAAGTGAGAAAGTGAGACACTGCCTGAAAATTTAAACTTAAAAAAAACCTTATGGTGTGTGTGGTGGGACTTGCCTTTAATCCCAGCACTCTGAAGACAGAGGCAGGCAAAAACTGTTGTCATTGCACTGTTTCGTTTCTTAGATGTACAGAAATGTCTTCATTTAGAAGAATCCTATTCATCTATGTTTACTTTTGTTGTTTTTGGAGCCCAATACAAAAATATTATGGATAGCTGAGAGTGGTGGTACACGTCTTTAATCCCAACACTCTGGAGGCAGAGGCAGGCGAATCTCTGTGATTTCAAGGTTAGCCTGGTCTACACAGCTGGGGCTACAGAGAGACCTTGTCTCAAAAAGACCAAAAAAAAAAAAAAAAGTATTTTGGGGAATAGCATGCGGGGTTTTTCTTTTCTTTTTTTCTCTTTTTTTTTTTGTTTTAGGTTTTATTTTTG